AATCCCCTATTTAGGATCCAAATTGACCTTGTTTGCTTCCAAATGATCTTGTTTGCTTCCAAATGATCTTTCCTACCAAATAACATCAAAACACACAAAACAAATAAAAAGAAACATAAAATAATTAAAAACTGGCAATTTCATCAATCGAAAGTACTCAATTCGTAAGTATAAAACCCACTCATCAAGGGTTTGAAGAGAGAAAGAATCAAGGGAGGGATTGAATTTGAGACTCAGTCTCTATCTCATTTGACATAAAGAAAGGACTGGTAAAATGAGCCAGAATGGACAAGTTAGAAACACACTAGGAGTTGATATAAAGGGAAAAGATATAAATCTCTAGACAAGAACAAGAACAAGATGAGAGTACCAAAAGAAAAGCTGAGAAAGAAACTGAGAAGATCAGGGGGAAATGCCCATATCTCATTGCTCAAAAATCGAAAACATCAAGATCACCCAACCCAGAGCTATAGCCCCTAGGATCACCGATAAATTGACTATGAACCTAACCATTTGATCCTCCATTAGATAATGGAATCTTCATACTAAACAAACAAAGACAAAAGAAAGCAAGCTGAGCTCCAATAGAAGCGAACCAAACAAAAAACTAGACCTAATAGCCAGGAAGCTGAGATAGGAACTCAAAAGAACCCTAGAGAGAAGCTAGGAAGTTGAATAAGCCCATGGACCAGTTGAATGGCGTGAAAATTGACATGAAAAGTAAAAAAATCTAGTTGAGTGGTATTAAAACATTTAACTGAGCATTAGACTCTAGCTGCATCCCGAAGTCTCTGAATGTGCAGAATTGCCTTACTGCAGCAGTTTCCCAATTGACATAATTATCCCAAGCAGACATAAATATTTGGAATTTAAATTTGTTTTTATTTCCTTCGAAGAACTTTTAGTTGAAGCTGATCTTGCATTAGGAGATTTCACCCCTTAGTTGGAAGCAAATCTGTTGAGACAAACTCCCAATCTGCTCTATCTTGGACACCTTGATTTGCTAAAAAAATTAGCAACTAAATTTGTCTCTCTATAAATATGTTGAATTTCAAAAGTTAAAGTACTAAGAAGCTACTGCAATTGATAAGTAAATTACTTATACCTCCAGCTGCATTCATAACTTCCCTTAACCATATTAACTAAAACTAGAGAATCTGTCTCAATGATCAACTGATATTCAGACAAACAAAACTTGTGATATAGTTGTAATTCATCAACTAAAGCTTTAATTTCAACGGCCATGTTCGTCCCCATCCTATAAAACCTTGAAGCAGCTAAAACCATTTGCCCTTTCTAATTTCGTAACATAGCTCCACCACCAAACAAACTTAGACACCCTTTAGCAACTTCGTCCATGTTCAACTTCAAAACTCCATCTGGTGGATACATCCAAGAAACCCATAGTGGTCTAGTTGTAATTGGAGAAGGCTTAACATGCAGTAAAAAAAGTAATTCCTTGCCTTGCATCGATTCTGGAACCTTTGGACGAATAACATACCTCTGATAATGAAGAATCTTCTTAATTCTAGAAACCAAAGCAAAAGAAAGCATTCATACCCCTTCAAACATCCTGCGACACCTCTCTGCTCATATTTGCCAATAAATAACCAATGAAACACCTCTTATAAGTCCATGACTAATAGATTGCTTGGCATAAACTTTTGACAGCCTGCTAAACCTTGTTAAAGGTCCTTCTCCAAGCACTAAACTGAACCCCATTAATGAGGAAAAAGCAGCCCACACAGCCTAAGCATATGGACACTGAATAAAAAGATGATCCATTGTTTCAACTTGTACCATGCACAATGAACATCTACTTACAACAACATCACCAATGGACATAAAATTTGAGTCCAAAGGAAGGGCTTGCTACAAAATTTTCCATCCTATTTGCTTTGCACTTGGAGAAATCTATTGCTTCCATATAAGGCTAGCTGTCGCATGTGGAGACTCATGTTGCCTAGCAACCAACCATGCTGATTTTACAGAAAACCTGCCTTAGATGAAGGCGTCCATACCTTAATATCCTACTTATCAAAAAACGAAAAGGGGCATGAGATTATTTCATCAATCAATTGTTCAGACAACTCCGGGCATAAAGAGAAAACCCATTGGCCATTGGAATAGACTTCATTCAACTTCGGATAACGTAGTGGAAGTTCTTGTAATCTCAAAATTAATGGACCTTGACTTGTCCAATTATCACACCAAAAATTAGTGGCTTCTACATTTCCCACTATCATCTAAGTGTTCAAAATCACTATCTCAAACCATGGAGACAACATTCTATAACTTCGCGAATAAGAATGAGTAGACCATGCAAGAACATGAAGATGATGGAGATATTTGGCAGAAAAAATTCTAGACCAGAGAGAAGATTCATGCAACAGATTCCAAACTTGTTTCATACGAAATGCTTTAGCCACATCCTCAAACTTCCTCAACCCTAAGCCACCCTCCTCCTTTGGAACTGTAATTCTTTTCCATGAACACCAATGCCTCTTCTTAACTTCTGCTTTGCTAGACCAGATGAAAGATGCCATGATAGAGTTCATTCTTGCAACAATGCCTTTGGGAAGATTTGTACATGCTAAAATAGGCATTGGTATAACACATAAAACTGATTGGACCAGAACTATTTTTCCCGTGCTAGACAACACCTTAGCGTACCACCCCTCCAACCGTAACCTAAATTTTTGTAGCAAGTCCTCAAAATAAATCAACATAGGCCTATCCTTAATAATAGGACAACCTAAATAAGTGAAAGGACAATTTCTAATAGAAATCTGAGAAACACGATGCAAAACCCTCTTCTTGAATGAGATATATGAGATGAACAAAACATAAAACTTTTAGACAAGTTCACCTTTTGTCCTGAAGCTGCCTTATACTTAGAAATAAAAGAAAGAAAATTCATCATGGAATGCTTATCCCCTCTCAAAAAAATAAAGTGTCATCTACAAATAGCAAATGGCTTAAGACAATAGTTCCTTTTCCTGTATGAAAATGCTTAACCAGGACCTTTCAAAAAATGTCTCTTATTCCCCTACTCATAACCTCCTCAGCTAGAATAAAGAGACTTAGGGACAACAAATCCCTTTGCCTTACACTCCTCATTGTATTAAAAAGAAACCAAATCTTTGCCCATTCAAAACCAAAGTTGCATGCTAGCTAGGAAAAGCCAAAATGACATAGAGTTCTCTTCAAAAAATCCCACTCTAATCTATCAAAGGCTTTCATCATATCCATTTCATCTACCATGAACTGTGCCATAGAAATACAATCCCCTACATGCCTACCTTTCAAAAAGCAATGTTGCTCCTCAGATATAATGAAAGGCAATATTACACTTAATCTTATAGCCAAGATCTTCGTGAATATTTTATAAAAAAAATTACATAAACTTATGCGCTTGAACTCTGAGAAATGCATTGGGGTTTTAACTATAGGAATAAGAGACAATAAGGTTGTATTAACTGACCTTGGAATAGCTCCCCCACTCAATAAATAATTCACAGCAAGCAAGATATCCTCCTTAATTATGTTCCAAGAAACCTAATAAAATTTCCCAGAAAATCCATCAGCACCAGGGGCACTCTCAACTGGCATAGCTAAGACAACATCCCGAACCTCCTCCATAGTGGCCTGTGCTGTCAACATAGAATTATCAGCTTCAGTAACCAAAGATGGAAAAACAAAAACCAGCCCCTCATCCAGAGAGTGAGACTCTGATGTATAAAGCTTAGTCAAAAACTGTTCGGCACATAGAGCCATTTGTTGATCATCCTCCAACCAAACTCTTTCATCATTCTATATTCTTCTAAGCTTATTTCACACTAATTTTCCTTCCGCCACTGCATGATACATTTTAGTGTTTCTCTCCCCCTCGAATGCTCATTTCATATATGCTTTTTGCTTCCAGTATATTTCTTCCAATCTCAAAGTTTCTTCCAACTGATTCTGTGCCAGATTAAGAAGCTGTTGATTAACTACATTAGGTATATGATCCATCTCCTTCTCAGCCTCCATTAACTTCTCCTCTTGCACCTTAATTCTTTCCAAAATATTTCCAAATACATTCTTATTCTACCACCTCAAATGAGCCTTCATATTGTTGAGCTTAATGAATACATTCTGAATTGGGTTATCAGAAAAATGCCCACACCATTTATGCTTCATAAGCTGCAAAAAAAAGGATGCTTAACCCACATATCCATAAACTTACAATAAGAAATCCTAGGCTGCAGATTGCGTTATACAACCTTTATATGTAGAGGGCAGTGATCAGATTTCGCTCTAGCAAGATGTCATACTTTACTGGTTTCAAAAGCAAGATTCCATTCTGAATTAATAAAGACTCAATCCAATCTTTGCCACATTTGTGAACGACCATATTGATTATTACACCATGTATAATTACTTCCACTATACCCACAATCAATTAGCCCAACCGATTGCATAAACTCATTAAAATCATCCATAGAAATGAAACTAGGAGAAGCTCCCCCATACGTTCCAATGAAGAAAGTATGACATTAAAATCTCCTATAATCATCCATTGTTGAGAGGAAAAATTCATATCTAAAAGATGCTCCCAAAGCGGCCTTTGAAGCAAGTGATCATAATAAGCATAAACCAAAGTTAACACAAATTGTGCCGGACCCAAATAAGATACTTGAACAGTCATAGATTGAGCAAAAACATCCAATACTTGAACATTCAATCTTTGATCCCAAAGCAGCCACATATTTTTATCCACATATGGATTTGCAAAAAAAGAATTCATACAAAGAGCAGAAGATAAACCTGACAACTTCATTGGACTTTGCTTAGTCTCCAAAATTGAAACCAAGCATACATCCTTTGCCCTAATAATCTTCTTGAGGCTCCTTCGAGTAACATCCTTTGCAGCACCTCGAATGTTCCATGATAAGAAATTAATCATTGAGAAGATGGAAGAGATGTCAAACCCCTAGACATGGATATAATACGAACACCAATAGGATTAGTTGCATCTAAACGAACACCATCAGAATGAAGCTCAATTTCAGAAATAGGAGAATAAATCTCCAAAATTCCTAGACTGCTAGACATATCATTTTCAGACTCAAATCCTTTATCTTGTGGCTTTGAACTCCAAAAAAAACCCCTCTCATCATCCATGGGCAACCCATCTGCATTTCTAGCCACATAATCTCGATCAACCAAAAAGTGGAATCTAATGAAGCAAGCGAAGGCCGCCTGTTTAGTTGACACCACAAATCCATTGGCGAAGGTTCTGTCTATTTATTCAATGGGCATTGTAGTGCATCTAGTGAATACGCTGTCTGTTTATTCGATGGGCACTGCAGTGTATCCAGCAAATTTGTCTTAGCATTATGATCCTCTGGAAAAGAACCATGTTCATTAGAAACCAATTTTTGGACCTCTGATTTACCAGTAGAAACATGCATACCAACAGAAGTTGGTGATTGTGATGGAACCTGTTCAGTGGCTTTATCAATACAACATAAGTTATCTATTTGTTGTGAAGCTTGTTTTTGCTTCAAATCCTCACTTCACTGTTGCATTAAATCATCCTCAAAAATCTTCTCATGAGATCTCAAATCTTTCTCCTCATTTGAATTGTGAAGAACTACATTTTCCCTCTTTGCATGATTCTTAGGTTCATTTGAATGTTCCAATGCTTTCCAATACCATTTGGATGTAGAAGGATTATTATTTGACGTTCCTGACTTATTTTTAGGCTAAAACTGCGGCCTGGAAGGCTTCTGTGCATTCTCCTCAATCTTGGCTTTGCCTTTTCTCAATCTTTCTTCTGCCTGAACTTTTGGATCGCATTCTTGCTTATCAGGCTTCTTCTTTTTGCATTCATAATCCATGTGCCCTTGCTTAAAATATTTCAAACAATACTTCATCTCCTTTTCATAAATAATTTTCTGCCATCTTCCCTTATAACCCCCCATCTCTAACCATATCCTTTGTGGATTATCCTTTATAACATCCATCTCAACTCATGCTCTTGCCACATCATGCCTTCTGAGATTCATGGTAGGCTTATCAAAAGCAAGAATTCTCCCCAATGGACTCAAAATTGCAGCAATACAATCATTAGTAAAAAGGCACATAGGCAATGAAGGAAAAGATACCCACATTGGCTCAACCGAAGGCTCAAATCATAAACAAATGCCCTTCAATTTAAGTAACATCCTTTAGCCAAACCTTAAAATAGTCTTCAAAGAGAGAAAATCTCATAACAATATGCCTTGCATCCAAATGACCAACAAAGAATTCCCCCTTTATGCTCCATTTTGTATTGATGAACTCCCTAATAACTGTGAGTGATGACCTCCATATGCACACTTCGCAATCAAAGATCGCTGAAAAGGCTTTTCAAGATCCAACATCTCCTCCTTAGACCAGAAAACTATATGCTGACTTTTATCAAAAACTGCTTTTCTTGGTTTTTTGGGTTGTGAATCATTTGTTTGTTTGGGTTTTTGATATGCTATAGGCTTGTAAAAAGATGTAATATGTGGTTTCTGAACGATTGATGTGTAGGTTTTTGGTTTATCTTGTGGATCAAGTGGTTTTGGTTGTTCTAGATAAGGTTGGTTAATACTCATGAAGAAAGAAATTCTAGAGAGAGAAGCTCTGACTTCTTTCTCTAGAATAGCAAAAAATACCACAAAAGGGATGGATTCCTAAATCCTAAACCCTAAACCCTAAAGCCCTTTTTTTTTTTTAGAAAAACAAAAAATTTTATTTATGCACAAAACTAGCAATTACAAGAAACAAAAGGAAAACCAGAAATGGCCTCCTATTCCAGGAACGAAAAAAATATCAAACAAAAGAAACAAATACAAGCTTGCTCCCAAAATAGTTAGCAGAAACTCCACTTTTACAGCTAAACTCCAGCAATTAACAACATTAAATCAGCCCCTTAACAGCTTCACAGCAGTAAAATTGAATTGACCTTTACCTACATACCACCATCAACTTCACATCAAACTGAACTGACATGTTTCAATCAAATCAACACTAAAAACCGCAGGCACAAGTTCAGTATCCACAACCACAATTATCCTTGATCATCATAAACCTAGAATCTCCTTTTTCTCAAAACAGGTAAATCTCTGAGATCTTGAGCAATAGCCATCCTAGCTTCAAAAGGCAAATTCATCTCCATAGAAAAATTCACAGAAGAACTAGACTGCACAACATAACTAGCTAATCTGTCAGCAACATAATTAGCTTATCTAAACATGTCTTATCTTAAAATTCATACAAATCAAAAGCTCCTTAATCTAATTGAGCATATTAAGAAAAGACCAGGCATATTCACACTCCCCCAAAATAGTCTTAACCAATACCAGAGAATCCCATTCAATTCCAACCCCATACCCCAGCAAACCATAAGTCTTAAACAACTGAAGGCCATTCAATAAACATTTAACTTCAGCTACCATATTAGAACAATCCCCATAGAAGTATGCAGCAACTAAAACCAATCTCCCCCATTCATTTCTCACAACCATACCATCTCCTATAGCACTTGGATTGCCCCTTGAAGCACCATCAATGTTCAGTTTCAAATAACCAACATCAAGGCACATCCATTAAACCCACACAAACTTAAACAAAACATGACTAGAAACAATAATTTACAAAAAATCCAGAAACGACTTCCCCATCACATCATCCATTACCTTAGGCTTACAACACTTCACCTAAAATCTCAACACACTGCAAATCTTCACAAATAGGGAATAAGAATGCAAATTTCCATCACCAGCCAATCTTCTACATCTCTCTTTCCAAACTTGCCAGAAAATAACCAAAGTAAGGCTTCTCAAAAGGCAATGACTAAAAGACTTTTGCTTAAACACCCTACACAATCTCTTAAACCTGACCAATGGAGACTCCCCACCAATGAGCTAAAAACCCCCCAACATTTGCAAATCTTGTCTAAATGGCAGTTGCATAAGCACAATCCACAAAAATATGCACATCAGACTCCACAAAATTAGAGCACATGTAACACTTACTCATCAATGAGACACCAATCTTCACAACATTAGAATCCATAGGTAGAGCTCCCCAAAGCAATTTCCAACCAACCAATTGAGCACTTGGAGCATTTTTAACATTCCATGTAAGTTTAGTTGCTTCATTTTCCCCCATATTCTTAGTTGCATTTTCAAAAAAAGAGAGGAGAGAGAGAGAGAGTGCAAAAGGAAAAAATCAAGGGTTCTTTATCTACTCGATGAGGGCTACATCTACATATAAAAAATGATGAATTTTGACAAAATCTAAAAGGTGGGATCTTTGGAAATCAAGGCTTGAGGCTTTATTTGGGTTCTTGAGAGCTTCCTACCACAGGTATTACGCTTCAAGAGATAGAGTTTCTTTCCTAATTAGGTTTATTTCCAACCTAAGGTTGAAATATGAAATGGGTAGGGTGTTAGAGATGTGATCTCATGTAAGGTAATGTATTTAAAATGTGAGAAATGAGTGTGAGAATGGTTAAAATCAATTCTTGCATGAATTGGGTTTGTTGAAATTGCTTATTTGTTATTTCTTGAAATATGTGTTGAAAGAGGCATGCAATGTGTTTATAATTATGCCTTGAAAGTGTTTGATGAAATGCCTATGTTGATTAAGTGTGTTACTTGCGTTGACAATGTTATAACATGTTTTGGTGAGGTTGTTGATGGTGGTTATAAGCTTATGATGTAATTGACTAGGAAAAATCTTGATAGATATTGAAATTGTTCATAATGTGCTCATGACATATTGAACTTGATATTGGAATTGCAATTGTATGTTTTCATTGCATATGCATGAGTAGCATCATATTCGTGGACATTTGGCATGAGTGTGGGTGTGTGTGCATGGTTTGATCAAACACGATTCTTGGTGGATGATGCGTGGGCTTGGGATAGTTGGATCGAGGTTCAATTGAGTCGTACGGGTTGCATTAAAAATAGGGTCAAGGTTAGCAAGAAGGGCTAGATTGTCCCTGGGTGCAAGACCCAGTGACTTGGATCCGCATTGTGTTGGTGTTGAGTTTATAAAGTGTGTCGGTGTATGCGGAGCCATTGGTGAAAGTCCATAAATGTTGTGTCGGTTGGGTGCCCGTTAGTGGAAGACCATAAATATGCACCCCAAGAAAGATCCAGGATTTATAATGGTCATTGGATGTGTAACATCAATGACGGAGGCTTGGAATGCCCAAATTCATACGCATGACATTGCATGTGTTATGGGAGCTGGTGAAGGCTCGAGTTGCGTTGCATGTGTGGGTCTCATCTCATAACATGGCATGAGATAGAGAATTCCATTATGAATTTCATATTCTTAAATGCAATGTTTGTTGATTGTCGAATTGCATGTGAGCATTTCATATGCATCTAAATTGGGGAGTAGCCTCTTTAGGAGGTACCTTATTGAGCGTGGCTCACCCTTTATGGGGACAACATTTCAAGTGCGAGACAAACACCGATGGATGGCTCACACTTGGACCCTCATTCATGAAAAATGCCGAGATGTGGCTTTAAATTATATTTTTTTGTAAAACATATAATATTGTATAAAGGATTATAAAATGACCTCATATGGACTATGTTATTTGTAAAATTGTATGTTATATGAGTTTGGGTAGATATTGTACGAGATTGAAAGAGTTGGAATTAAAAAAGGATTGAATCAGGGGAAAACTGGTAGAAGTTTTCTAGTGAGCTCTTCTATCGGTAGAACATTGAGTTTCTATCGATAGAGGTTTTCTAGTGAGCTTTTCTATTGGTAGAACGTTGAGATTCTACCGATAGAAATTTTTCAGTGAGTTCTTCTACTAGTAGAACGTTGAGTTTCTACCGGTAGAAGTTTTTCAGTGAGCTTTTCTACCGGTAGAACGTTGAGTTTCTACAGGTAGGTCCACTTTAATTTTCAAAAAATTGAAATGATCTCGCCAAGCCTTCAGGCCTTGCGTCATTTTGATCAAAGGATGTAAATGGAGAAATAATAAGGTCAAACATATGTGTATTGGACCTTGGAATGGTCAAATGATTGAAATGTACATAGGTTATGCATTTAGGAGTGCCCGGTACAAGGAAGACTGCCCAAATGATGTGTTGTTCATGATCCCAGTGAAGGGAATGTTATACCATGTCATCGGGTTATGCAGCATGCACAGGTACTTTTGCGGGTTAGTGGGTG